ATCTACAAGAGGAGAAATGTGTCAGAAATACAGCATGCCATCAAACAAGCTTTCAGCCCTCCTTTTCACTCTGCCCTGGTACCTACATTGTCCACCCAGAAAACTCCTAATCACATTTCAGAACCCAGTAGATGCATTTCTTCTTATAGACTACCTTTCCTGACTTATTTCATAGAGTTGCTCACTCTAGTTTCTGTGTTTCCTCTCATTCCTCCAGTGCAGTTCTACCACTCTAGGTCACACGGTCTGCATTTGCTGAGCCTCCCCTCTATCCTAGAAGATCCCCAGGGAAGGGGACTGTATGTCAAGAACCTTGAATCCCTGTATCTTGCACAGGGTCTGCCACAGGGACAGTGCTCAATACATGTTCATTGAATGCATAAGTTTTAGTCTTACAAGCCTTAACTGCTTTTTATGCTGATGGCCCAGTTTCTCTTTTAAGGAGTTCAGATTTGATCTGCTGGTGGTAAAGAACAAAACTTAAGGGCCAGCTCCTGGCTCACTTGGGAAAGTGAGGTGCTGATAACACCAAGGCCACGGGTTCGGATCCCTATATAGGGATGGTCAGTTCATTCACTTGGGAGAGCGTGGTGCTGACAACACCAAGTCAAGGGTTAAGATCCCCTTANGTCACCATTTAAGTCCAACAACGAGACCTTTGTGATTTGCAGAAGTCCAAGATACTTGGGAAGTCCAAGATACTTACTTGCAGAAGGAGAGGTCATATAGAGGAAGATATAACCAGCCGGCCCCCAGCTGTTCCAGCCTCTCCGAATGAAGAGGCAGACACAGTAAAGCACCCATCTGAAAGCCCTGCCTAGTAAATCCTTCAGAAAACGTGGTCTGACTGAAGCCACATAACACACCACCCATGAGTCCAGTAAACCTACAAAACTGGGTAAGATAATAATAAATTATTGCTTTAAACTAATATGGTTTAGGAAGGTTTATTTTGCAATGCCTCATTAGAACAATAGTAAAACCAGAGTCTGGTCACTGCATCCATATGTATAAATTGTGCTTGTTCCAATAACAAATTACATATTCCCTGATCTAAAACCATGACAATTCATTTCCAAACATAGGCCAAGCTTGCTACCTACATAAAATTTTAAAATATTGTAATTCTTTTGAAACAAGAAAAAGAAAAGGAATTCTTTGAGGGCAATCATTGAACTTCTGTGGTTCTCTATTGCCTGGATTGAAAATTTCAAGTGCTAACTTTGTCTTCTTTTTATTTATTTATTTATTTAATATTTTAATAAGTACATTCTGAGATGCCGTTGGATGGGGAAGGAAGAAAGGGGGGCGGGGCTGGCCCATGGCTGGTTCCTTTGCTGACCTGGCTGCAGTCGGCAGTGGGTGGGGCCAGGGCCCATGCCCCGCAGTTTCAGGACCCCCAGTGGGAGCTTCCATTCTGGCTCCGGCTCCGTCACTGTCCTCTGTCTTCTTTCTGAAATTCCTCCAGTGCATCCTGCACAAAGCCAGGCATGGTGTCAACACACAATAAACATCCTTAGAATAAATAAAATAATTAAGAAATTTCATCGTATTTTCCTGAAATTATAAAATCTCTTCTCAAAGCCACTAAGTACAGCTCTGTGGCTGTAGACTGCTG